TAGAAAGGGGAAAAAAGGCCATGGTGGCTGGGGGGGGGGGCCGATTCAATTTTTGGATTACCCCAAAAACTTTCTGGAAAAACAAATTTTAGAGCTTGAAATGTCAAAAAAAATTTAACTTCTGGACACAATGATACAATTTTTGAAAAAAAGTAAAGAAATGCATTTTATTCTTTACACTTTTATTTACCAAGGAAACGGAAGACAATTCACCTTCATTCAAGGTAGGCAAGAGCTCAGAATATACTGATATTTAAACACCTACAGCTACACGCATCACATAAAAGCAGCAACACAGCCACCAAAGTAATGATAGTTGAAAACTAGATGATATTAGACAACTTATTAATACAATCCTGTTATTGATCAGTCAAAACATTTATAAGTGGATGTTTGTTATAAGGCTTAAAATCTGTTGCAATTCTGTCCATTTTAATTCATTTCTGTTTTTTATACACAACTCGTGTCTGAAGGCACTTTAAAAAAAAACAACAAAAAAAAACAATCCAACGCAGCCATATAAATCAGTGAGAAAAGCTTGTACAGATTAAAGACACTGGGGATTCAAATGTAACTTTGTTTGCACATTTAAACCAGAAAAACTCATAAATGACTGAATAAATTACATGAACACAGATTAATAGAACATTTGTGATTTTTTTTGGATTTAGAAGGAAGTCTTGGTACCTGGAGAGGAACATGCTAACATGCTAACCCTAGGAACTGAACCCCAAACCTTCTTGTTCCATACATGTTTACATTTATACAAACATGTACTCAGAGACATTAACACTGAACAATATTACTGTCTGATTTTTAATTGGTTCTGTTTGTTGGTTTTTCTTTTACCTCTAAAAAGTAAAACAACAGTGAAAATAGAACGACAGCAATAATAACAATCACCAATGCAAGAAGGATCATGTGCCAACGCTGAGAGTTAATTCTGCTTTGTTGGAAGTACTCTTGCATTTGATACACTGCATTTGTGTTCTGAGAACAGGTTAGTAACCCAGGAACACTTTCATGGAAGAGGACATGAACTTCTAAGTCGACGTTCGGATAAACTTCTGACCAGCTCCTCCCAGCGGTGGAGTAGTCTGGATCTCTGGTGTGATGCATCAGGACCAGGACGACTTTTTTATTGGCTGTACGGAGACAGAAAAAAATTATATACGACTACTTCAGTCTGCATAAACACACTGAGATGTTTCAGTGCAAATATTTCACAGTAGAAATGTCTAACAGATTGCTACCAGAGATACAAAGATTCAAAAATTCTACCTCAACTCAACTTTTTTTAATCAAAAGAAAACCTATTGAACGAATCCAACAAGTTTGAAATCTGCACACACAATTTAGGCACATTTTAAGAATTCAATTGAATTTCATTCAACATATACCTAAATATGGTTTAGGCACATTTGACCTACAGTCTTCCTGTTGAATTTACTTTCATTTTCAAGTTATGCCACCTTAAATTGTTTTACAGTGATGTAAAACAACAGATTTCCTTTGACTTTCCTTTACAAACCTTGATAAAGTGTTCACAAAAACATGTCAGCTCTGTCTGCTAAATTGTACTTTAACCAGGGTAGGTAAGTATTTTATAGATACAATAAATTACAGAGTCTGCTGTTATAGTTACAGCTTCTGAAGAGGACAGTGGTAATCCTTATTGTGTAGATTGTCAGAGCTTTGATGAGCAGGACTTTGATACCAAATGTGGGAAATTGGAGGGCTGGAGTATTTCTGATTTCAGTGTCTGAGAAAGTCCGTAGAGTCATTTTCTGTGGTTTGATCTATAATCTTATAGATATTCATTGCTATTCATTGATTTGATGTCACACTTGTATCTTTATTGTAGGTATTGCTACAATCTGTTAGATTAACTTGGTAGAAAAGAAACATTTGTGATTTTTTTTCAAAATGCAAAACATTTTGTACATGAGGTTTGGACAATCACTCGGCTCAAATAAATAAAACCACCTCAGATTAGGTCACCCTACAGCTGCCTTATGAGAATGTCTTATGTGGATATTTTTTTATTGAATAATAACTTAAGAAAGAAGGTAAATAGCTTCAATTAGTCAAAATTATTTAGGTTTATGTTATTTGACCTTAACGTTGAGTCTCTGTCTCACTCCAACCTTAGATTCCTTTCCAGATGGAAGGATGTCAGTGATTTTCTTCTTAAATTTCTTTAGATCGATTGAGCTACTGAGCTCTATTAGCTTATATGCATATGTGATTTCTTGATACAACAGGCCAGGCGTGATGAGTAAAACTGAACTAAAAAGTAAAAAGAAATTTTGGTTAATTTGCGATTTTACATGTAAGGTACATAGTTTTTCCTTATGGGTTCAGCTTAGTTTGGCTTTTTCCCCTTTGCAAATTAAATCAGCATTTAAAATGAACTTTTTTGCATTAACTCAGGTTAGCTTTGTCTGATTTGTTTTTCAGCAAGCCAAAACTAAAAATGTTGCCTGATTACTTACGTGGCATGTTTTGCATGGCTGCCTCCACATCTGAACCAACACGGGAGGCAATGGGACAGAAAACAATGGTGCACTCTCCATCCTGGTTTGTGCCCTCCAGCCTAACTCTGCTTCTCAACTGGTCAATCAGCTCTGCATCGGCACCATGAGTCACCCCGGTGGTGATTGTCTCAACTTTAACTGGTTCTGTTTGGCAGAAATATAAAGCAGAAAAAAAAGATGAACAGACCAGAGCAAATCAGAGCAAGATTCTTATTTATATGTCCTGAGATGATAACTCACTTGAAAGACAGGGCATCTTCAGGATCCTTCAGAAACAAACACAAAGAACAACATAAGAAGACCCAACCATTCGTCAGATGTTATTTATAAATTAGAAAGTTATCAAAAAATAATACTTACAAATACTTTACAAATTCTCTATTTTCATAGGGTCCAGATCAAGTAAATCTACTTGCCAAACAAGCAGACCTTGGTCATAAATCCATTATGCTTACTTTTGGCATTGAGGACAGGCCCCAACTTCTGTGTTTTCTTTTTTGTTTTTATATTTTCCTTCCATTCAATGTGTTTGGTTAAGCAACCATATCAATGCTTCTTTCACAATGAACTTTAGTGGCTTAGCCTCCATTTGGAGAGTGTCAACCAATTTCTCTGAAGCCGTTATTTTATCTTAATTTCTGCTTATTTATTGTTAAAAAAAAACAAAAGCAGAAATTAAGATAAAATCACGGCTTCAGAGACCCGGAGGATCTTTTAAATCTGAAGAAAAATTAATGAAATTGGTAAATCATAGATACATCAGCTGTGCACGAATTGTATCACTTTTTATATGCCTTTAAAAAATGTTTATAGACTCATCCTCTTCATTCCTAGATCATCAGTTTCAGATGCTTAGGAAGCGCTACAGCATTCAATGAGAGAACCCTGAACGTCAAATGTCGACGAGAAGGGGGGACCCGATATGTCAACATGTGGCGCACAGTGGTGGAGAAAGTACTCAAAAAATGTACTTAAGTAAAAGTACAAATACA